AGGTTGCCCAGAGAGGTAGTGGAGTCTCCTTCTCTGGAGATATTCAAAACCCGCCTGGACGTGATCCTGGGCAATATGCTTCTAGAGGACCCTGCTTGAGCCAGGGGGGTTGGACTAGATGATCTCCAGAGGTCCCTTCCAACCTCAACCATTCTGTGATTCTGTAAAAATACCCAAATCCCTGAGAGAATATTTAACACTGAGTTAGGCTTTCATCTGTTGCTAAGGAGAGAGACTGCATTGTTTGACAGTACTTGTCAATGTGCATGGCAGGTGAAATAAAAGGTAAAGAACAGATTGTCCACCCAAAGATAGATTTTTATGTCTCATTTCCTTCTGTTTGAAAACTATGCTGTAGGAGTTTTAAATCGGAAGCAATGGAAATATCTGGCCTTGAATAAAAACATTCCAAACACTTCTAGGATGTTTAATGTAAATTTTCTTGGATTTATTTCCTAGAAGAAAATTATTATTTTGTGTTATATATCTTTGATAATCAGAAAAAATCTTTAGTGTAGATAAAAATGTAAACTTCCTGTGCTTTTGTGACATGACTTGTAATAATATATTTTTACAACTCTTGCGAGTTTTCTCTTACGAATTTCTTATGTAGAGGAAAATGAGCATGACTCTGCCTAGTCTTATATGTAAATTTGCCGTTTGATATTGGGAATTTTTAAGGAATTATTGAAATAATGTATGAAACCTACTGTATCCTATTTCAAGAATATCCTTTTAAAAGAATTAGTATGTTTGTGTGTCTGTACACGAGCGCACATGTATATTGATATGTGGTACATCAGTATCCTACTAGTGCTGTTTGTTCAAATTTAAAAACTTTGAAATGTTGAGGAAAAATGTTTAATAGACGATTGCAAAACTGAAGTTTTTACTGTGGTTTAAGAATATTTTTATGTTCTTTCTACACATTAAAATGAAAAACATTTTACTAATTGAACTGGCTTATGGGCTATAAACAAATGAAAAAGTTTTGATTTGAAGGAGAATTAGGATACTTAAAACTCTGCATTAGATCTTATTTGAAATTTGTGTTGATGATCTAGAAGAGGCAGCAAATAACATCTTAATTGCAGCTCTAAACGAAGCCAGGTTCTGAAGAACTGCAAACCTTAGCTAAGATAGTAACAGAGAAACCTGATCAGGTATATATTTTCTTAACCTGGTAGTTTAACTTTGAAGTTTAGAGGTATTTAAATGTAAGAATTATTAGTTATTCGGGTTTGCTTGGTGTATTCTAGATTTCTGCTTCTAAAGATGAGGATAAGAATGAGACACTTAATAGGGAAGATATTCGCGATCATCATATCAGTCGAAGGGATTTAACTGCCATTGAGGGAGACGTGCATACTTTGGTAAGCCTTGAACATTGATATGTTGATTACAAGTTACTTTCTTAGTGAGAAGATGAGAGCTCCATGAGAGGCAGAGTTATTTCAGAAAATATGTTTTGGAATTTGTTCCAAAGATTTGAACAATTTGAAAGAATAATAGATAACAAGTCATAACCTCTGGAGCTGTGATTTCTTCCCCCCTGCAACAAAAATCAGTTTTCCTCAGGGTAGCGGGCTAATGAGGCAGTATGCTACCTACTAGTGCATATGCCTACAATTTTGTGGTGTTATTAGTGTTATGTTCTTAAAAAAGGCTAAAGTGAGCTCTTAATTCAGTGTCAGTCTTCTGTATCGTGCTATTTTCTGAATTTGGAAAGTGGTAGTTTGGTGGGGCAAGTGTGGTAGAAGAGGATAACTAGGAAGAAATAGGTAAGTTTTGCAATCATCTTAGCTACGAATTACAGATGATTTCAGAAATGCAGTTCCTTGCTGATGAGTGAATATTCTGCGCTCAGATACGTGGAGGACCTGTCCCTCCTCTCTCCACACAAGGCACCGTATGAAGTAAATACATTACTGTATTGCTGTCTTTTGTAACTGCGCTTGCACAAATGAGCTCCTCCCTGCTTTGGGCAGGGCAGGATGGTCAGGCAGCTGAAAGAAATGCTTTGGGAGTTAAGATGGAGCATTGGGACTAAGGCAATACAAACGGTGGTCCTAGAAATATTTAGGATTTGGAGAGGACAAAAAAAAAGTGCTGAGGAAAGAAAATGAAAATAAGGGATGGACGTTCAATTCTTTGGTGAGAAGAGTTAGTTTTTTTTGTAGAAGCTACAGACGTTCAGTTCCTATAAAAGTTCTCGGGAAGGGTTTGATTGCTTGTTTTATTTTTTTAATACAAGAGTAAGGTTGGCTTTTTTTTTTTGTCTGATCTTCCCAATGACTCAGCAGGACCTCACCCCTGAGCTTATATACAGCATTCATAGTAATGCATTCCACTGAGTTGCATCATACTGGCAGTTGCACTTACACTGTACAGTACTTCTATCTATAGTATAACTGAAACCACAATTTGAAAACAAAGCCTTGTTTTGCTCTGCAGTCTTTGTGAAATATTAACAGTCTAGCAACGATGTTATCAGAAGTACTTTAATGGAAATGTGGTTGAGAAACGCCACTCAAACTTCCCAAGTCCGGAGTATTGCTTATAGATTAGGTCAGTCGAGTCCTGTTTGAAGTCTTTTGCTGCATGCAGCAGAGCACGTTTTGTTGGTATGTGGTACAGTCAGTGGCCATGAGTTTTCCTATAAACACCTGTGTTACTTTTATATGGGGGAATGGTAATGTGAATTGATCAGAAACCCCCCATGCTGCAGATTTTTTTTTCCTAAATATGTAAATAAAGTGCGTACCGTAAAACTACAGCCAGGTGTTTCAGCTGGGATCTGAAAATCTAGAATTGGCTCACATAATACTTTTCCGAATGCAAACTTATGGACAAGTAATTGTGTAATACTGGATTTTACTTGAAATACTTCAATAGTTCATGGTGCTCTATCCTGCCTAGAAAACAGGATAATAAAAATATGTTTATGAAAAAGTAATGCTACTGATGACTCTTCGGAGATGCTCATCGTTGGGATGTTCTTCCTATTTTTGTACACAGGGCTGTGGAACTGCTGATTGTTTAAAGATAGTCTGTCAAGTTGGCCAGCTGGAAAGGGGCAAGAGTGCAATATTGTATTTAAAATCCCGTCTTTGGACCCAGACTTTCATGAATGTGAGTGCCTGTGTGTAGTCTGTCCCCGCTTCATAAGCACAGGAAGTAATTTTACATCAATATGCAATACTAATTTTCTTTTTCTTACACAGAAAGAAAATCAGAATCACTCTTATTCTCTCAAATCGTCTGCTTCGTTCAGTGTTATAGAATTCCCTTATAAGAACCTTTCCTTTGAAGATATCCACAATTCTACAATAGTAAGTTATTTGTGTCTAGCTTGAGTTAGCTTACATCATTACTTTGAAATTAATACAGTAAGAAAGAATAGTAAAAGATAAATATTTAGATTTATTTTCTTATTCAGTAGGACAGATTTATTGCTGAATAGCTGTTTGTGGCTTGGTTTAGTGCTAATTTTATGAACTGTTTGATTCATATATTAGTTTCAGTCATACACATAAAATTGAGTGTAAAATATTTTGTCTTAAAACTGGAGTTCAGCCATGGACTATTTGGAGCTTTAAAGTCTTAATTGATCCAACAGAAAAAAGTGATGGAAAACAGTACTAATTTTCTTGTTAATGCCCTTGTTTGAGAAATATTTGACTGGAAAATGTTCTTCTATTGTAATAGCACTTAGAGATTGCATAACAGATCACAATCATGGTATATAAAGTGCTATATGAACATGGAACAAAAAGCCAATCTGTGCCTTAAGAGTTTCCAAGAGAGAGGAGACAGGATTCAGACAGAAAGAAAGATATGTGTCGTTCTGTGGGGCTGCCAAATTTGTAGTTTTTAGTAGGCACTATATTATAAAAGATCTTAAGAAGGGGAATCAAAAAAGGATAGTGATTGCTTATTTTTGAATATGGTTTCTAATGCATGTTATTTTTCCTCTCCTAAGCTCTGTGGAGTTGATTTTTGTTTTGAGGACTACTGCCTTTTAAGAAAGAAGGAAAACTCCTGAATTATTTTTCTTTGTTTCTCAAACATTTCCAAAATCCTGTACGTGTACTGAAAATCATCCGAGATTACAGAATCCATGCTGCCATGCTGTCACTGACTTCAAAAAAACCCCATAATTTTAATCGATTTGAAATTCCTATTAAATTTGGGTCAATCAAGCCTTTATGCCATCATGCATGTTCTATTAGTCTGCAGTTGTTTACTCACATTGGAGAGAAAAATTAATTGGTGCTGGATTAGGATTATTTTAAATGTTATAGCGTGTACTACTTGAACATGTACTACTTAAACTGCATATGAAAGAACTCACTCTATCACGGCTGTGCAAAATGTGATCTATTGTGTTTTTCTATTAGGTTACTACGAATATTACATGGGGCATTCAACCACAGCCTATGCCTGTGCCAGTGTGGGTTATAATTTTGGCTGTCCTAGCAGGATTATTGCTCTTGGCTGTTCTAGTGCTTGTTATGTACAGGGTAAGCGCTGCAGTGTTTGTTTTTTGTGATGTTTTATTTTCCCCTACTAGTGATGTATTACTCCAAATAGTACTAGAAGCTTGCAGAAATACCTTAGTTCCCTAATCATCTGAATCTGTTGTCTTTTTGAATAAATTCAGCTTTGTCAGGAAAAAGTTGAATAAAAAGATGATGTCTGTGATTGTGCTGAAGTACTCAGTTTAATTTTTCCATTTGGTATTTATTGATTTTGGAGGACTAGAATATGGAAAAAGAAAAATATTCTAATAACAGGATCCGATGAAGAAGCAATAAGAAAGATAAAGGATGGATGTATATTTTTCGAAAAGCAGTCATGCAATTTCTTTGTTCTTCAAATTGCAGATGGGCTTCTTCAAACGTGTGAGACCGCCTCAAGAAGAACAGGAAAGAGAACAACTGCAGCCCCATGAGAATGGGGAAGGAACGTCAGAAGCTTAAGCAGAGTTTTATCTGTAAGACATTCTGAAACTTTAAAGAGCGTACATACATCATTGTTACAAAAATTGGTTTCCCTGTTAAGGAAAAAACACTCCTGACTGCGCTGCTGCCGATGTCAAAAGGTATCAGCACCTGCAAAATAAGACCAACATATATAAATCCTCCCTTTGTATTAATCATGTTGACACATGTGACTAATGCATATGCACTGATTTGTGTATTTAAAAAAATTTAATAGTATGTAGTGCTATGATTTTGCTAATGAAAATGTAGGAGACAACATCTTTTTTCAATTCAGAGACTGGCATTACGTGAGTTGCTACAGAGATTTCATTTATACTCTTTAAGCCAGCAGCTTCTACAGATACTTGCTGGATTACATGGATTTTTGTTGTAGTACACTACACTTAATTTCCTAGCTCATGAAAGCTAGTTGCACAAAAACAAGCATAGCTTGCTTTACAAAGCTGAAGAGTATTCTTTGACCTATTAATTCTGCTGATGATTTTTCCTCCTGCTCAGAAAATATGAAAGAGATTATTCAGTGGAATCATTAACATCCGATCTCCTCTGCATGCCAGTTCCCCTTCCTGCCTATTCATCTGTCCCCTGGGATCTTACTGCCCTGTGCAGTCTCCTATTTCTCCTCTGGGCTTCACAGATACTGTTCTCCCAGCCCTAGGTCCCTTACCTTAAGGACTGAGGCTATAGAAACAGAAGTGAGAGGGAGAAAGCTCCGGGGGTGTTGTACTCTCTAGGGGACCCAGTGAAAAGATGCAGGGCAAGATCCAGAGACTGTGCTGAGTATTTCCATAGAGCAGGATAGAGATGTCGCACAGAATTGTTGGCAGTGTGGATCCATTCCGGTACTGACAGGGATGAGATGTTGAACAGCAGCTGCCAACAGGTGTGTCTGATGTGAAAACCCATAGCCTTCACGCCCACAGATCAAACCTCCACAGGGCTTAAAGTTGAGTTTGTGTATTACTTGGGTTGACCTTCCATCTCTGGCAAAATAATAGAGAGAATATTGGTGACAGGTTACCTGATACACCCTGGGGAAGCTGCTAATAATTTGCACGTTCTGTAGCTGACCTTGTCCCAAGTGCAGGATTGAGTACTACAGAGACTGTTTAGACTACGCTATCTGCCAGCCAAACGTACCCAGATTACGTTAGTACTTTAGCAGTGCCCACCCCTGCCCTGCCACCTGCCCTGAAAGAATAGTCAACTTGTCAATGAAGCAGCGTGGAAGGATTTGATTAGGAAAGGTTGATTTGGCTTGTTTAATGTTAATCTTGCACAAAAGACTCCATTTCATTACCACAAAAGACACTAAGTATTTTCTGTTTCATTGTTGGCTTTTAAATGTACTAAAATTGGATCCAAAAACTTCAGTGAATTAAAGCCAAGCGCTTGAATCTTTCTTAACTTACTTCCCTCAATATTGGTATAGTAAAATGAAGCCTCCTATACTTACGAAAGAACAACACAAGAAGGGGGTCTGTATGCATTTTGATAACCATGTAACTGCTAGTTAGTAGATTAGTTGGCTTGTAACCACATGTAGCTGTGCTGCAGAAATCTTAGAGTGGACATACTTTAGCTAGTACAAAAGTGCCTTATTTGAGATTCGTTTATTCTCCATTCAAAAAGGAGAATAAACGACGTTGTGGACTCCTTAAATGAAGCCACATACGGAATGGAAGGCTTCTACTATAATTATACCATTGTAATTTCTAAGCTAACAAGCTCTTAGAGGGACAAAAACTCTTTTTGGTTCGGTTTGTGTTTGTATTGCGTTTTTTTTTTGTTCAAAGCTGCATCTTTCCCATAAATAGCGCAATGCTCAGTAAACCCAGAATTATCTGAAATGAACAGTTCAATTCATCCTTCATTACTTCATACTTTCTGAGATTTAAAATCCACGAATGACTTTCACTGTTAAGTCCACTCATTTTCACTGTACTTTAATGGCGTTTGAGTCATTAAGGGAGACAGCACAAAGTTAACGTGAGGGCCAATTTGTATTTTAGATATAGGCTTGCACGTTTATCTATTTACGTGTTTGTGTTTTAGACAATTTCTTTAGTTTATATGGGAGGGTATAGGGCAAAATTCTGGTTCCACTGAATTTTCAAGGTTGTCAGTATGGTCAAGGTTTCATTCTTGCCTTTACTTCTCGTATTGTTACTACTAATGTAGTAGAGACTCAGGAGTCGGGCTTTGATCCTTGCCTTAAAGTGTGACTTTTACAAAACAGTTTCATTTCACGGGCTTCTAGGCTTTCAGTTGCATACATACGGCAACATACTTTGCCAGCTGATTATCTCTATGGGAGAGGATCGATTTTACTCGGTCTCAGTCGTAGTAAGTTAAGAGGTTTAAGATGCTGTCAGTAGACAGGTAATAGCTCTAATTCTTACCTGTGTGCTTTTGTTACGTGTGCACACTGAGTTGACTTGAAATTCGTTAGACTACTACATGTCTAGGCATTATAAGGAGATGGGGAGGGAAGAAAAAGGATGGTTAAAATTCCTTCGGCTTACGTGGAAGGGATACCCCAGCCCTGTTAACATCAGTGCTAACTACATCTTAATTTTGCTGTGGCAACTAGAAACCTTTTGCTATGTTTCAGGATAGAAAGGTACATTTTATTGGTACAACTGCTGTAGCTATGGAAAGTTTCTTCTGCGCATTGAAATTACATAAAGTAAGACTTTAATTTAAGTGATTTTTATTTTCTTACATTCTACTAGAAAATAAAATAATTGCTTCTCCATGTCCACATGAACACAAATATAATGTCTCAAATTCAGTTTAAAATTACATCTGAGTTTAGGAGAGATTCTGAACAAAATGCTTTCCTGAATGGGGATGGGAGTGAAGGGAAATCTTTGGTTTTACATTCTAGTTTGGCAGTAAGATTACAGAATATATACGCACTTGTGTTACTATAGATTTCCCAGTGGCTTACAGGCACTGATGCATTCTTATAAGCAAATATTTTAGAGTGATGTTGAAACTTTTAAAGAAACCTTTAAAAATGTATTTTGGAGTGAAATGAATGCCCCTAAGTCAAAAGTGATGTGCGTAAGATGCATATTGCAAGCATAATAAAAGACAAGTATGGTAGTAGATAATTGACTTAGTCGTCTTTTGAGAGAGTTATCTTAGGCAAACATAGCTTAATGTATATAAAATCAGCAATTATGTAATTTTACCCTATGGAAACATTTTAGAGAGCTAGATCTTTTATAATGAAATACAAAATTCTACAACTAGTCCAGTTTGCAATTATTGCAGCATCTCATGATGCATATTAAAAGATGATTTATATTGTAAGATGTGTATTATCTGGTACTATATTTGACAATACTTAGAAAATGTAAAGAGAGGAACCTATTTTATAAGTTTACATTTCTTTCAAGAAACGCTACCAAATTCTGGATTCGTTCTTGAGCGTGACTGCAAAGTCAAAACATGGGATACATTTATCAAAATAAGTTGAAATCTTTGAGACATATTCACAGATGTTAGTATCAAGCTTATGGATTGTATTTGCCCCATTTTTCTGTTTAAAATTTTGATTTACATGCTGATCTTTGATTCACATAATGCTTATGAAATTTTCTTACAATTTGTAACACTTGTCCTTTCTTTATAAATTCCAAGCAAACATTTTGAATACTTAATGCTTTCTGAAATTGTATCCACGCTTAACTAGTCTTTATGATAAACTTTCACGGGTATATTTCAAAAATATTTCGGCTGTATTCAGCATGTTCTTGGTACTTGGAAGGATTCATGTTGCACTTTCAAAGGAGTATAGCAATAGACCTGTGTTCAGAAAAAATGCAAAGACCTGTGCAACTGTTCCTGAAGAGTGAGAGAAGACTTCCAGCATTCCAAGCCCAAAGGCTTCCACCTTTTGAGGGAATGAGAGATTTTTTGCACCATTCTGGTCTGCTGATGGATATCCTGGCGTAGGTGCTGCAGTATTTTTTTTTTTTTTTCCCCGCACCCTTATGAGTAGTCACAGATTAGCATTAGCCCAGTGAAAATCTGTTCGGCTTCTGTCTGCGGTCTAGGCTGAGGCCTATTCCTCATAGTTTAATGAAGCCACTGAAAACCTGACATTAATTTCAGCTGGCTTTGAATTAGGCCCTTGGTGTTCAATGCTGACTGTTAATACGAAAAATATAGGATTTTTTAAAAGGAAAGCGGAAATCCAAAATGAAAAGGAAGATGGCAGCCTATAGATTTGTTGAGCCTTCTGCAAAGAAAGATTTTTTTCAATTGTCTGTTTCTGAGGTAGGAAGAACTCATTAGTTCGGTTGTTGGTGGCCTCTATCACGAAGAAATGCCAATGCTTGGGAGCATGATCACATACTGAGCTCTAATAATTCTCATTGACTTCAGTGGGACCTGAACTCTTTGGTACTGAATCTCCCAAATGCAATACAACGTTATTATCAGATCTAGTTCACTGCCAAGTCATTTGTTAATTTTCGTTTGTCTAATAAGGGATGTAGTATTTGTTGACTGGCAGTGGTCGATATTTTTAAGGACATTAACAAAACCAGCGTATTAAACTGAGGTGATAAATGAATGCTTGTAGGAAGTTTTTGATCACCCACATTGGGTGAGACATGATGTATATTCTAATGCTTATCCATTACTGAATCTTGAGTTACTGAGAATTGGTACAATGTTCCTCTTTAAGTCCACTGTGGAAAATTTGACTTAGAGACTATATAATAATGTGTTTGAGTCTAGTGCTACTACTGTTTCATATGGTTATGGTATCTAGAATTTCATTGTATTTTCTCCAGTGTATAAAATTAAAAAATAATAACAAAGGAAATTTAGGCTTATATGCATTGACCTCCACGTATTTTGCATTAACATTGACTAACTTGGCCCTTGGCTTTTGCAAAGTAAATGAAGATTTAATGTAGCATTTGAGTCTGCAAAAATCATTTTCAGGTTTATGTGGCCCTTTCTATTCCATGAAGGAAAGAGATTTGTTACGATACAAATATTTTGAAAATGTAACAGTTTATTTCTTCATAGCAGAATTTTGTGCATGGATTTTTGCTCGTGCGTTAAATTAGTATAGCTTTGTTTGCATAAGCAGGAAAATTAACTTACTAACAGGATAGCTGCATTTTGGGTTTCTTAGTCATGTCATATATTTAATGAAACAAACAGGAATATTTTCAGCAACTATGAACTTGTTTCAAAGGCCTTTGGTACATTTAAAGAGAGCAATATACATTTGAAGCCACCTTATTTTTATTAAAATATAAATCTTGCAAAAAAAAAAAAATGTGGGTATTGTAGCACAGTAATTTTGTATTGATATCAAATATAGCTATTAAGCTATGGTTTTCTTTTCAACTCATTCTTTTCATCCTAATTCAAATTTAAAATGATTTTATTAGGTTATATTTTCATATAAATGTTTTCAATTTTGAAATATTATGATTGGATAAACAGTTTGAGAAATGTTCTTGTAAGTATTACGTTGATTTTGGTGATAAGAATTTTGGAATAAAATACCTCTGAATTAACAGGTCTTCTCTGAATCTTTTCCAGGAATATTCATTTTTTTTTCCATATATTTAATTCAGCTGAAAATATTTCATTATACATGTCTGTAACCCACAGTAATCTACTAAATATGAAAAGATCTCATCACGTTACTTTTACCTTCTCAGCTAAAAGAGCATGTATTAACCTCGAGTCAAAAGGATTTGTAACCACGAGCAAGAAAGAGATCTGTTCAGAAATTGTTTTCTCTCATCATCAGAAGACAATTTCCTAAGAATTTCTGTATGCCAAGAGTAATTTGTTCAGATTTCATAGTTGTCTCATCACTGTGGAAGATGGTTATTTTTTGCCCTTTTCCCTATTTCAGGAAAATTCTGAAATAGATGGTATTTCTTTTCTTGTTGTATTATTAGACTAATTTAATCTCTGAGTGTTTTGAATTCTTTCTAGTTCATCTTTGTGAGTGAATAGATAGTAAATATTTTGCTCGTCAAAATAAAGGGGTACACTTTCATTTTCTATTGATTGAATATTTATGTAGCAATGCCTAATTGATACTTTAGCTGAAGCATTAAGTACCTCAATTTAATTTTGTTAATCTTCAGTAAGTACAGAATACTAAAATTTCAAAATACAAAGAAAAAAGACTTTCAATTTTATTGAAATATTTTTATGAACATCTCATCAATATATTTTCTCATACACATAAAAGGATTTATCCAGAGTGCTGTCTAAAGCCCATCTTCATGCAAGATTTTTCAGAAACATTTTGCCACAAACAGTTTTACCATACCTT